CAAATTCAACCCTAGTGCGGACGACAAAAAATGGCCTTGAGAGGGCTTGTTGGGGGCGCGGCTGGAGATGCTCTAAGGTGCATCTCAACCGCCCCAGCCTCTTCTAGGAAAGTGGCACGCTGGTGCCGGCTGCGGCATGTGCGCCCATGGCAGCGCCGCGCCAGCCTGGCATCGACTCCATTGGCGCCAGTAAGTAATTATTTCGCCTGTTTTCTGTTTTCCCCCATCCAAACAAGCTATATAGACTTAATAGAAGAACTAAATAAAACTGGTTTTCCTAAAATCTTCTAAAAAACTGGTTTTACAAAAGCTTACGTCCAATTCTTAGCATCCAAACAACCACGAAGCATTGCCGAGGGGACACCTGGATATCACTGTTCAATTATGAGATGAATCACGGAACAATAATTCACCCTGAAATATGCAAATGGTGTACTCCAGAACTCTGCCATGCCAATATAAGAACTCAGATGTCTGCACCTCCAACATGCTTGTATTGGTCAAATAGTACCCATGGAGCTAAGACTACAGATATGCAAATGACCTTATACACCATCACAGTGGAAGAAAATATCTGTAAAACTTCAGGAGCGGACTTATCCAAGATATCGGAGACATAAAAGACAAATATACTGTTAATTGGGCACAACATCATTAGCTTTGCATCTGAGTTATCTATCCTCCACCCCACCCTGCATTTCTGATTCTGAAAGTAACTCGGTAGCAAACTAAGCCCAAGTGGTGCAGGGCTAGTCACTGAGGTCAAATGACACAAATGATTTCTAACTATCTTTTTTATAAGTGACATAATACTCTTACACCAGTCAACATAAAAGAGTGTGACACCTATGTTGGATATATTTTTCCAAGCTCCGCCCTGCAAGATGAAGATTATGATCATGCAATAAGATGAGTTTAAGGATCAGGCTCCAAGCTCATGAAATAAAGGTAAATAAATGCCCAAAAATGCTTATCAGATACCACGGATCAATATTCCAAAACACGACACTAAAGCCATATATTCTTAAATACCAAAACTATATATGTTGATGTATCTTACTAGTGTCAAAACACGTCTTACATTATGGGACAGAGGGAGTACTATGGTATGTCCTAACCCTATTTTTGAGCTCAGCAATGATCAATGGGAATTTCAAAACCAACAATGCAAAACCTTCAGTGAGCGCTGCCTCCTTGAAATTTTCCTCCAATAACAAGAAGTCAATGCAATTGCTCTTCAATTGCGGACAATTATATGTTTCGGCGCAAGCTAAAGTAGTTGAAACTGTATCTATCGATACATTGTCCCATAATTTTTTAGCACAAATAATCTTCAGGCGGTCAAGTGCATAGCGATCAGCTGCAATAAGTAGATTCTGAAACATCTCATTGGAAGAATCACCAAGCTCAATTTCTGCAGGCAATTCATCAGTGTATAGAAATCGAAGCATAACTTTGAATGTCTTAGGCGTGATGTCGTGTAGTGTGATGGATGTCCTTGTAGCCTCAGCCATGGAACCGAAGAGCTCTGCTCTAAATACCGGTGAGCGGGCGGCAAGCACCACCCGGTGCGCACCGAATGTCTCACCTTCGACGATGAATGATATATCAGTCCCGTCGTTGCGATCTAGCACGGAGCCGAGATGGATCCCGATATCTGAAGGTGGCACGGGAATAGAGCCGTCATCTAATAAGACCATGACGGTGCACCCAAATGTGACGTGTCCTTCTGTGACGTAATATTTCTCCAAAGTAGCTCCTTGGACGAACTTGCTCCACCCCCAGTTGTCACCGTCATCGTCAGCATCATCACCACTGCAATTTTTATCATCACCGTCGTTGTTGATTGAGAAGTCATGAACACATGACCTTCTTGTGAAAGCTTTACATGGTTCGCCATTCCTGTCCATCAGAAAGGCCTCCACGATGGCTTTGACTCTTGTGGTTTTGCTCATGTGCCTGACGAAGATAGAGAAAAACTCGCCCGTGTCGTCCTTATCGGACCCATGCGGGTAGCAGTCAATCCTCCAACTGTGCCCCGCGGCGGAGAAGACGTCTGAGTGGACGGCCGTGCCCGTAGGAAGCTGTTTGACTTGCTCGTAGTCTACTTTGAGCTGGAGAGCAGCAGAACCCACCATGGAGGTCCGCGTTGGAGTCCATGTCTTAGATCTCTTGCTCACTGAATAGTTGTTAAGTAATTTAAATAAGAATTTTTATCATCAAATTGACAATCCAATACGTAGTACACCAATTCTGAAACTAAGAAACAATTTACCAATCGAGATTAAGAAGAGGGCAAGACAAGCACTCACTCAATGGCTTGCTGACCGCCGAGGTGGCGGCGGCAGTCCTGCTGATGGTGGCGATCACTGACCAGGCGCCGCAGGCAGCTCACCGACCTCCACGTACCAGAACCCGATCCTCCGCGAGTCACAGCCTCTGTCATGTGTACGCCTTCTCTCGTGGCCGCCGCCGCTAGTCGCTTCTCTCCCCGCTAGGGTTTTGTCTCTGCTGTGGAGGCCGCCGAGTCGTCGAACATGATCTGGCTGCAAAATATTGACGGTTTTCTAATGCTGATTTTTTTTTAGGGGTTTCTAATCCTGGTTCATCGCGGGAGCGAGCTGGGCACCCTGATGGGCTGGGCTAGTAGTATTTGTTTTTGCAGCCCAAACGCATGCGCGTACGGGAAAACCAGTAAACTTCCTGGCGAACACTTTTCCTGTGTTTACGTGTGGCTCTAAAAAAACGCGTTGTCCCCACTAAAAACACGTGTTGGCCTTTATCTTTTTGCGGGGAAAACGTATTAAATTAGGACCCTTTGTATCCAACGAACATCAGGTGAGAAGCACGGCAAATACAAACGATCTGCATGACAATTTATGTTTGTCGAGGATGACCGAACATGACAAATACAATTCAGTTTATCTTTTGCTCATAATTTATCATGCTTGCAAACTAAAGTTGCCATCCTTATCACAATAAAATTGTCATCAAAACATTTGATTTGTCATCCCTCCTAGCGAAAGTTTGCCAATTAGCATTTCTATTAAATTGTCTCAGCCAGCATAGATACACGGTGCAAACAGAACATGGATCGAAGTTCAATTATATATAGTCACGTACATCCAACTATAGAAAAGGGACCGCGCTATAAATCTGCTGTCAGATTTGACGGAAAAGCAAACTGGCGACCATTCACTATGAGAGCATGGCATTTCAAATGTTTACCCTGGCGACATTTTTAGTTGTAACAGGGTGGCAGTTTCTTCATAACAGCATGACATTTTCTAGGAGGACCAAAGTTTTGAGCCTTCACTCCAACAAATGCCATGTTGTTCTAAAAAAAAACTGTCACCCTGTGACCAACTAAAATTTCCATTAAAACATTCGCAAATGCCACCCCCTCTCAGCGAACGGGCGACAGATAAGAGGGTCCAATGTTTTAACATGGTAAATCAAGCTTTCTTATGACAAACTACGTGTCACGAAGCATGGCAAATCCTCACATGTTCAGTCTTTTTTTGTCAGGATTTTCTATGCTTGCTGGAAAAAAATGTCATGCTCGCAACACGTAATTTGCCATCGAGAAATGCTCGATTTATCATGCTCAAAATTTGATGACAGATTTTTAGCATTTTTGAAAGTAAAAAAAGTCACGCACACCTAACTAACCCCAAGTGAATCTACGCATAGATGAAATTGTCATCTACTACGCTATAGCTTTGGATACAAATACAATCGGCACTATCAATTCTACCGTGAGCGTGTCGCATTTTGTCATAACAATCACGTGTGGATACCGAGCAGATGATGACCGGAGAAGGGGAATACTGGTTATTCCGGCCTTTCCAGCAATAATGCAACATGTGTACTTAGTACTCCCACCGTTTTTTTAGTTTGCAAATAAAGTTTGGTCAAAGTCAAACTTTGTAAAGTTTGACTAACTTTATATTGAAAAATATCAACATTCATAATATGAAATCAATATTATCAGATGCATCATGAAATGTATTTTCATAATTTTAGTATTGTAGATATTCATATTTTTTTAATATAAATTTAGTCGTACTTTGTATAGTTTGACTTTGATCAAAATTTTATACACGAAATAGAAAGACGGAATGGATGAGTAGACGATGCTATGTGCACGACGTGTAGCCGATAAATACTCTGCACCGTCAGATGCATTAAGAACAAAAGTACAGATGGCTGGATGGGACACGTCATCTGTGTGTCGTCCAAAAGTATCGGCTGTATAGCAGTGCTAGTAGAAAGAAACGGAGGGAGTATTCCACATAGACATGAACACCTGAATCAAAAGAATTAAATACATGGGCATAAATTGACATCAAAGTGATACTAGGATACTGATTCAGCGCGATCCTTCACGCCACTCGATGAGGGTTCTTCAACCACATAATTATAAACCAGACATGAACACCTGAACCGAAAATTTGAAATACATGGACATGATCCTTCACGCCACTCGATGAACACGGAGTATGTTTCTAGTTCTTAGCCTGCTTCTCCCTTAGCTCAGAAATAATAGATGGGAACTTCTGAACCAGCCCCACGAAACCATCTGTTAGCACGGCCTCCCTGAAGTTCTTCTCCTCCGCGAAGAAAGCAATGCACTTGTTTTTCAGCTCCGAGCAGCTGTACGTTTTAGCACAAGATAAAGTTGCAGCAACGTTGTCCGCAGTCACACTTGTCCCACAGATTTTTGGCGCAAATGAGCTTTAACCTATCCATGGCGTACCTGTTGGCCACGGCAAGCAGACGCTCGTACATCTGAGTAGCCGAGTCGTCGAGCTCGTCATCTCCGGGCAAGGCGTCGGTGTAGACGAACCGAAGAAAAACTTTAAACGTTGCGGGGTCAATATCTTCCAACGGGACGCGCGACATCGTGGACTCCGCCATGGAGCCGAAGAGCCGGCGAGCGGGCAGCGAGCACGGCCCGGTGTGCGGGAAAGTCCTCACCGTCGACCACGAACGAGACATCGCAACCGTCGCCGCAGTCGAGGAGTCGGCCAAGATGGTCCCCCACGTCAGTGGAAGGCACAGCTATGGAATCGCCTTGCACCACTATAACTCCGTATACAATCGTCACCCACCCGTTCACCACGGATTGAGACTCGACATTATACCTGGCCATACCTCGGGCCAGGCCTAGCCAAGCCCGACGCAAAAAACCTAGGCCCGGGCCTGGCCCGGCCCGGCCATCGGGCCTGTTTTCTGGGCCTGAGCCCAGCCCAAACACGTAAAAGCCCGTCGGGCTCCGGGCCGGCCCGGCCCGACCTTCATGAAAGTGCTAAAACGATGGGCCTGGCCCGGCCCGGTCATCGGGCTCAAAATCTAGGCCCGAGCCCGGCCCGGGAGCAATGTTGGGCCGGGCTTCCCATGGCCAGGTATACTCGACATCGCTTTGCTTGGCAAACCGCTGCCATCCCCAGGACTTGAATCCCTCCGGTGGATAAACCTGCACGCACCGTCGTGCTTGGAAAGAAGACGGCGCGCCATCCTTTTTTTTTTGATAAGAAGGCAGATCGCAGTCTACCTTATATATTTCAAAACCAGACCAAGGTCTGAGAATTGTCAGGTTATAAAGAAATGCAAGCTAGCTAGCTGCATCAGGAAAGGAGGAGGAAAGAGGTACATCGGGGTGTAGCTAACTTAGGAAACGGTCGAAAGAAACTCCGCTTTACATTGGAGGAAAGCTCTCAAGGAAATATCATTCGATCGGGCACACCAAAGGTGTAACATCTCAGCTATAGCTGCCCCAAGAACTTCAGACAGTATGGTCTTGTTGTCAAAAACCCGAGCGTTGTGCACCGTCCATAGTTGAGCAGCACATGCAGCAATCAAAATTGTCCAATGATTGGCAACTTCCTTCGTTGTGAACACGAAATCCTTCAGGGAAGGTGATGAACTGGTCTGGTGGAGCAGTCCAAGCTTCTGTCATAAGCAATGAGCTGGTGCACATTGCAGTACTATGTGATCAATAGTTTCTTCTGCCGGGCATAAGTCACAGAAGGGATGTTGAATATTGTTCCATTGCTTACGCGGCATTGTTGTTCTGGCGTTCAGACGCCCTCTGTGAGCTAGCCAGAGAAAAACCTTCCATCTATTGGGGATCACTTTATTCCAGATTATGTCCGCTGGCGCCCAATGGACCCCTCTGAAGGTAAGCAAAGCATAGTAATTGCTAGCCATTGCAGGTTTGCCAGTGTAGATGTGGACACGGGAGTCAGAGGAGCTTGCAGAACGGGCATGTACGGATGCAAGCAGCTCTCGCAAAGTTTGAAGCTCCGAAGCAGCAGTCCGGGAGAGGTTTGGATGAAGTTGCAACATCCAGCGATCAAGGTACTGCGAGGCCACCGAGCATTGCTTATCCTTGGCAAAAGAGAATAGTGTGGGGAAGAGTTGATTGAGGCGGCCAGCACAACACCACTTGTCTTGCCAAAAAGCCATTAGTTTCCCATCTCCGACATGGCAAAAAGAAGTTTGCTGCAGCATCGGGATATATTTTGCTAGAGCTCTCCAAAAGGGTGTGTCAGTGGCCTTAGGTTTGTCAGGCAAGCTCTTGCGCAAATATCTATGTTGAAACCATTGATAGCATGGGACTGATGAACCTTGTAGGATCCGGTTGGTGAATTTGCAAAGCATCGCATCATTGTGAGCCTCTCCCTAGGCCACCGCTTTGCTTGGTCGAGACAACTTGATCCCAAGCAACCAAGCAGTCAGCTCGCTGTCTGTCCGCCTTCTTCTGTCATAGAAAATTCCTTCGTAGTTTGTCGACCTTTGCTATGCTGCTCTTGTTCCACTTTACACAGACCATTTAGTAATTTGGAATGGAAGAAAGGACAGCATCAATCATAGTGAGGTGCACACCCGAGGAGAGATATGTGGCCAGCCATCCTGCCAATCGCCTGTCAATCTTCTGGATCACCGGCATCAGAACTGAGTTAGAGAATTTTTGCATTGAGAGAGGTAGGCAAGGTAATTGCATGGCAACGAACTGATCGGGCATCCCAAAATTCTAGCTGCTTCCATTGCATCCTCTGCACTCATATGAATAGGCACGAAGGTGCTCTTATGATAGTTAATCTGCAACCCAGAAAACCTTGAGAACGCCTGCAAGATGACTTTAATACGTGCAGCTTGTGAAATCATGCCCTTGAGCAGAATGAGTGTGTCGTCCGCGTATTGCAACACCGTAAAAAAGCTCAGCCCATTAATAGGACACTCCAGAACCCCGTCGGCGGCGGCAGCAACACACATACGTTGTAGTATGTCAGCAACCAAAATGAAGA